GGGGGGGGGGGAAATAAATGAAAGCATTTGGTGAAATCATAAGAGCGTGTTTTTGAACGTTCGTTAACTTCATTTCTTGGGCTTCCAATTTATGCCCCTTTTGTCGGTTCACAGAGGGTAAAATAGTTTGAAAGAGGAGAAAAGTGAGGTAGTATGATGCTGAGGGACGATAAAATGTGAAAGAAAGAAAAGAAAGAGAGAGAGAGAGAGAGAGAAAGGGAGAGAGAGAAGGAGAGAAATTGTTCTTTCTAAGAATCTGGTGTTGTTGTTAGCAGGTATAAAACTGTCTCAGGTTTTCATTCTCTTTCTTTTCCTCTTTCTTTCTTTCTTTCTTTCTTTTTTTTTTTTTTTATCTTTTTCTCTTTTTCATTCAGAGGCCCTTTAAGAAATCGTGAAGGCCACTGGCGAAAAACTAGCTTTAACGAGCACCGTGGTCATCTTTCCTTATTTTTTCTTTTATTATTATTTTTTTTTTGTTCCTTAAACTTCTCAGTAATGAGGACGTTGTTGCTTGGGTACCTCTCTCACAAAGCCGACATAAATGCAATCTCGATCTATGATATTGTATATATAGATTTGAAAAGGTCTCTTAAATATAAAAAGGACAAAGGGATATTTAAGTTGATAAAATATTGATTTAAATAGGAAATAGATTGATACACAAAATTGCGATAAAAACTAATTGTCCAAAAATTATTATAAATGAATAATCAAATTTAATTTCAATTCAATTTATCCAATTTTCACAAAGAACAAACGTAATAACATTAAATCTCACATTTACGTGAAAACATAAAAGAGCAAGAAACATTTGCCGTCGATTTATTTGTTCGAATGTAATTAATGAAAACAATATAAAAATAACAATAAAAAATAAAATTTCCAGTTGCTGAAGAAGTTCCAATAAAGGGACGAAACGTCCAACACTTATCAAAATTAAGTTCTACTTCTTTTTTTTTTGATGTCCTAATTCCCTTATGATACGTTCTTATTAATGAAAATATTGAAAAAAAAAAAAAAAAGCAAATAATACTAACTTGTTTGAGATCGAGAACAATGGTGACGTATTCGTAGTTGTCTCCTCTCGCAAGGGTAGGACTTTGCCACCATTTACCAGGATTAGAATCTAAAGCATGACTGATATTGTGTCTTTTTCCCGGATCAGGGCTCCTCGAATCACAGACAGCGCATCTTGACGATTCCGAGGGTTTACAAAAAGTTTCGGGACCATCCTCGCCGCAGGTTGCATTCACAAATATTTCAGCCTTTGCGGCGACATTAAAGGTTGACGGAAAGAGGCCGCTATTCTTAAGGCTTTTGCTTAGACCGTGTGCACCGATTTGACCTGCGAACGACAAAAGAACAAAAAATATAGAAAAATTCAATTTATGACGAATATATAACGTTAGATAATATTTCTTTCACTTTTTTTAATATATATATATATGTATATATGTGACTATACGAATAAGTATGAGTGAAAGCTTTGTAAATTAGATCGTTTCATTCAACACACACACACATATCTCAATTATAAAATCTCTTAATAGACTTTCATATAATTCTTCTTAAAGTCTATAATAATCGTTCTTTAACGATCTTCCAAGATTTCTACCATAGGTGGATAATTAACGTACGTGTTAGATTGGATTTATGGCTTATATAGTCGTCGGTAGATTTTTTTTTGTAGGATTTTATAAATTATACATATAACGAAAACAAAAAGAATTTGATCGCCGGAATATTTTGTTTTATTTTATTTTAATTTTTATTTAATTTTGTGTTGTCCCTGTTTCAAAATGAATATTGACGTTTTTTCTATAAAAGAGAATAACAATATAAAAATATAATTCAATTAAGTATTATTTTGTTATAAAAGGGAGTAGGTAGGACTCAAATATTTCCATCGTGCACATTTACACATCATAATGATGACTCGAATAATTATAACAAAAATTAAAAAAACAGAAATATATTTAATTAACGAAAGATAAAGAATTTGATTATCAAATAACTCTGTGTTTAGTTTGATTTGATTTTATTTGGTTTTGTTTTTAATATTGTTCGCACTGTTTTAAGAAGAATATTTGTACGAACGATTCGAGTATGGTTGGGTCGATAAAGATCGAAAGAAACGATACTAAGGCGATAGGTTTTGACAGAAAGGTAAGGTAAGATCATCGATCCAACACAGTCGTCGCATAAGCGCAAACAGGTTGCTGTGGTCGACAAACGTGCCAGGAGAAGAATATCGTGAAAGCATGAACAGGTTCGCAGGAGGTTCCGGAGAAGAGTTGAGCACGCCCGTGAACAGGTTCGAGTAACTTCCACTCACGAGAGAGAATATAAAGGTGCGAAGGCACGCGAGAAACGACAGATTATGCTACCTTTTAAATTTTCTTACCTTCTTTTTTTTCTTTTTCTTTTTCTTTTTTTTTCAATTTAACTTTCGCTTACACCTAAAATCCTTTTTGTACTTTTTTTTTTTTTTCAATCTATACTTTACGCGTAATCTCATTTTTATTTTTAATCTATCATAATATAAATCTCATTTTAAATGAATAAATTTTCTCTTACACACACACACACACACACACACGAACACGCACACGATATATTTATTATTATTATTATTTAATAATTATTTAGAGCGTATAATTAAATTGCGTTTCAAAGTTATTGTTTCTTTTTTTTTTTTATATTTTTCTAAAAAATGTCGAATGAAATTAAAAATAAAAACAATAAATTCGACAATTGACGTATTTCTATTTGCGCATTGTGTGATTGAAAAAATTAATGGCAGAGGGATAGATAGAAAGTGAAGAGGGAAGAAAAAATATGATTTGTTATTTCTCGTTCGTTTTGTCATTTTTTTTTTCGGATATATTTATTAGGAATATTTTTTGTTTAAGTAAAAAATAATAATGACTGGGCATATATATCGGAACCCAGGTGAACGTATTCGACGAGTATCGAAGTCAATGATGATGATGATGGGTTTGAACGACGTCGACGCCTCGAAGCTAAAAAGAGAGAAAAAAAAAAAAAAAAAGGATGACCAAGGTGTATCCCAGATCGATCGTATTTTGCTTCTTTTCTTTTTTTTTTTTTTTAACTTTTTTTTTCTCCTTTTATTTTTGTTTCTTTTTTCTGAGTTTTTCTTTTTTGTTTTTTTTTTTTTGTAAAAGAGAAGGAACGATTATCGTGAATATCGGTGGTTAAGTTTCCTCCCCTCAAGTTGATTTCAGCATCGATATCGAACGCGTTCTTGGCAGCCAAGAAACCAACCAATACAAGCTAGCTAGCTAGCTAGCTTGTTTAACGATCTCATATTCAAATAAAAGTGTTGAAAATCATCGATAGCGATCAATTTTAATCGATATTTTCCAATGGAAATTGTTTTTTTCATGATTTATATATTATAAGACATATTTGTGTGTGTGTGTGTTTATTTTTTGTGAAAGAATATTATATAAAATGTTACTACGATCGATTTATTTATTACTTTGGCTGGTTAATATAATTTTAATAAATAAAAGTACTTTTTCTTTCTTTTTTCTTCATTTTATTTTTAATATCCCAGTATAGCTAGTTTCATGTCGCGAGTAATTTTATAACTAATTGGAATTATATATAATAAATTATTATTTTTATTATATTAATTTTTTCATAGACACACACACACACACACATATGTTTGAATATTTTAATAGTAAAAGTTTGGAGTAGTTAATTTTTAATTAAAATATATTTAATAAAATTCCAGTATAACACGTAATTCAATATTAATTGTAATATTTGTTTTTAGCAGAGTAAAATTTTAAATGATAAATTATTAAAAACGTCCCACGTACGTAGTATTCTTACTCATATATACACACATATAATACACTTATTTAAATAATGACAACTCTATAGTATTCAATAATAAATATTGAAAAATAAATTTTGTATATCCAATGTACACATTTAAGAATCATAATTCAAACTGTTAAATGATTTAGTTACAATTATTATAGTAAAACGGGATTTATTTGTTATTAATAATTTGCAAGATAAATATGGACCGAATAAGAAACAAATGAAGAAAGGAAGGATGACAAATTATACAATATTGCCAACCAACGTTAAAACAGTAAGTTCCCGGAAGCATGAGCTCATCTCTGGCGACCTAACAACTTCCTCTTAACTCCAAAATGAAGATACTTTCTCTTTTGAGAATCACAAACTATCTCGATTCGACGTTTATTCGAGGTAAAGGGATAGATAATTCGTATCTCTCAGAATCGTTTTATCTTGGTAACCATTTTATCTTTTCTTCCTTTCCTTATTTTCTTTTCTTTTCTATCTGTTACTTTCACATGCACCCGAATACACATATATATGTTATTATTTTATTATTAAAACATGTGAGATCTCTTAATCTATAAAATAACTATTGTGTTATTCCATAAAATATTATTAAACTATAAATTAAAACACAAACATATATGTACATTTCAATTGGTATTTTAATTTGAAGACAAAATTTCTACACTGATTTAAGGATATTAATTAGTTTCAATGCATTAGTAGGTTAATTAATTAATTTCAAATTTATCTTATATGCTTTCTCCCTCCGCCTCCCCCTACCCCTCGAAACGTTTTATCATTCTAATACAATAATTGAATTGAACAACTTTAACAATTTAACGTACAAAGTTTACCATGCAAATTGCTGGATAATCTCGATAAGTTTTACGTACGTTAAACGCACGTGGTGGTTGGTTGTGACTCGACCTAAGGAAAGATGGAACAAAGTTATTTCCGTCGTCATCAGTCATTCGTGCTGGTCTTAAGTCCCCCTTCCCCCTTGCCGCCCACTCTTTCAGTACATAAGAAATCTCAAAGTTTGTATAAATATGATATGTGTACGTGTTACATATGTAAGTAGGATAAAGTAAGATAAATAGAAGTAAATACGAATGATAGATCCTATGTTGAATATATATGAAATATGTTGAAGAAACAGGATACATTTCAATATATATTTTATTTTTAATACTTTTTTTTTCTAATTATAAAAAATATTTTCTCTTTAGTCATCCCTTAAAAATTATGAAGAATATTTATATAGGAATTAATTAGGATTGATCGTATTAATAATAATAATAATAATAATAATAATAATCATCATCATCATCATGATTCGACGTAAGAGAAATGACGTTGAGAGATTGACCGGAGATTGACGGGTAAAGAATATTACAAGAAGACAAAGGAGTTCTCCCATATGTACATATGTGTGTATATATGAACGGTACGGAAGTCGACTGTTCATTGAACGACAAATCGTTTAACTCTGACATGACTCACACGGTTACGCTTCGTTCGGATAATATAATTATTCTACGGAGTTCACGAAAGTTGGGTCTGTAAATCATTTTATCGACTAGGATGCGTACGGTTGGAGAAATTTATCGGTAATCTTATTCGTTGACTCGTCAGATTTAATTATCAAGTGAATCAAGTGGAGTGTTTTATTATGACAACAAATAAATATTTTTATAAATATTTTTTCTATGTATTTTTTTATAAACGTTTCATTATTAATATTATTAAAAGATGATTGTATTCGTAGATGCATCAAATTAAATTATCGAGTAAATCGAGTGAAGTTATAAAAATGTTTCAATATATATTTTCA